CTACACTGCCAATAGTCTCTCTGGATAACATCCCATTGGAGACTTTGCTGCCACATGCAGCATTATTCTATACCACCTATCTTTGAGATCTCAGGACGCTAAGTGAAGTAATATTATAGTTTCCAAATTACAACTGCAGCTGCATCGAAAAGGCTATCGTGAACTTGATAGGCAAGGCACAGTTGGGGAAGCAGAGATGGCAGTTCCCTTGGCATTATTGCAAGAGGCGCGTATTTGATTTCGAGGAGACCTCTGCTACTGTTTAATAGGCGCCATCCTTTCCTAGACTTCCAATACTGCACAGAGAGTTAAGAATAAAAAACTATGGAATGCTTAAAGAAACTAAACACAACCCAATCAAACATTAGTGGTGAAGAGTTGAAGTTATCTGACAAACCTTGTACCATGACCTGGTCCACATTTGACACCAGTAACATTAATGCAAGTGGAAAAACCATTGATCAATTCCTATAAAAGAGTCTTGGATATTGACATGGTTTGACCCAGAGATATCAATTCCATCAGTATTTGGGTTCTCATCTGGTGCAAGGATTTGAAGATTAGAGACTTCGACACCGTCACATGCATTTATGCTTATGTGACCTTGTGGCTGCTGACATGGTGCCAGTTACTTGGTCGGAGACCATTGCATTTGTTGAAATGGAGAGCCTTCATCCGCAACATTCATCGCTCACACAGTCGGAACATTATAAAAGGATTCCTTTTATGTTTTGAGGATGATCGATGAAGACTCATCGATCAATCGATCTTACTCGACGACGTTTCGAGCAGGCACTATCATTATCCAGGGAGACAAATATTGCTTCTTCTTTTTTTAACATTCATATTAAAATGAGTAACAGGCCCCGAAAGACAACTTGAAGACATTAGCTAGACTTTATTGAGCAGAAGGTAGACATACATTGCAAGCTTTCCACCAAGCTTCTCCTCGTCCATCAAATCTTCCTCCTCCATCAACAATGAGACCAATAGAGGCTGTGAATCCAATCCATTTTTCATAATCACCATCCCATGAGTCAAAGCTGTTTGGTGCACCCATTGTACCTTCGATCTACTATCATAAAAACAATGCTAGGTTTTTTCAGTGACCCCCTTTGTAAATGATTGAATACAAGAAAACATTTGATGAAAACGTATTCCCTGATGGTACTTCAAGGGTTGGCATTTCTTCACTTGCTCGACAGAAATGTCCCCATGCTTTTTGGAAAGCCTTTCAAGTACATTTTCAATTCATAAATATCTAATTTTCTCCACATACAGGTTATCAAGCTTAAAGAAAATAACGAAAGTACAAACACATTTACGTAGAACTCTAAAGAGCTAGTGAGTCTAACAATCAGGAAGGTTGCTCCCACTTTCTATTTTTTAAGTTCAAATCTTGCTGTTAACATTCAAAAGAAATTATGTACTAAAATACACTGAATCGCATAGATTTACTTAAAACATGCTTCGTAAGTAAAACAAAATTCCCATAGAAAATAGCACATAAATGATAAACCTACTTAAAAAATAAAGCAGGACATGTCCTGGTGTAGCATCAATTTTTCCAAAAAAAAACATTTTAAAATTATGTTCAAACCCAAAAAAAAAAAACATTTTAAAATTATGTTCAAATAAAAAAAAAAAAAAATTTGCTTCCTTAACATGGAGAATCCTTAATAAACTTTAAATCAAATTATAGATGTTATGGTAGTCGAATTTGTTCTAGAAGTTTGAGTTATATTTAAATTAAGAGGGGGAGGAGATGGTTGTTACTGTTGTTTGTTACAAAAAAACAAAAAAGAAATGCATAAGGAGCAAGATAGAGATGGGGGAGCGGAGAGAAGGATTGATCGTTAAATCATAAATTAAATATTACCAATAAATTTATCAATGGAATTATTTTATCAGTCATTCTATCGATAAAAAATATCATGTCACCATACAATTTGTTTTTTTAAATCCCATTGTAATACCATCCGTAATTTTGTTGGTATATAACCAGGGATTATATTTGTCATTATATCTACAAATGAACTTTACTGCAAGGTTAATTTTGTTGGTAAAGTCATTGGTAAAAGTTACATATTATCGTATTTTTTGGCTTTTTTATTTTTTTTCCATTGCAATTCTCTCTGTATATATTGATGAAGTATTTTCGTTGGTGTTTACCAAGAGATATGGTGATGGAGAAGTTCGTCAATAAATTCATTGCAATCTACCAATGGAAAAATTGTATTGATGTTTTCGTTTGTATTAGTCAAATTTCTAATAATGAACTACATACAATTACAACAGTTAAAGAAACAAAGGTTGAAAATATGAAGGGAATTAATAAAACTAGTCAAATAGTACTCTTCCAAGCTAAGATACAAATCAATTGTCAATTATCAATCAGAATCTTGAGACATCATTATAAATTACCCTATGATGAAGTGAGAAAAAAATTAGAAAAAATTGGATTTTTCATAAATATGTCCTAAACCTAACCGTGAGTCCAAAAACTTTTCTATAAAATAAGTTTCTTGTTAAAACACAAAACTATTTAATATTTAAGTCAGCATGTATAAGAAGAGTGTAGTGTGTATGAAAGGAAATATAAGATAAATATATGTGTGAAAAGAAAGAGTTTATAGCTTATTGACTTTTATAAATGGTTTTTTATGACCTAAAATGGCTTGGTTAGCTTTATGGCCTTCAATGACATAGTTGGCATATGTATGGCTATAAGCACCCTTGCATAGCTAGCTTATGGTTTAACTTTTTAAGATTATCTCTCTAATGCTTAAGTGAGCAAGTGTCAAGAGAGTGTGGTATGTGTAAAAAGAAATGCAAAAGAAATATATGTGCGGAGGGAAAGAATTTATGGACTATATGCAATAGTTAGTTGGCTTTTAGGACCTAGAATGACATGGCTAGTTTTGGTATAGCTAGAAGCAACTTTGTATAATTGGTTTTTGACTTGATTTTTTATGGCTATCTCTCTACATAGGATATTTCCTTTTGTCTTGTGATTAGATGTATTTATATGCTAAAGTTTTGAAATTTCTTCATGAAAAAGGAGACCATATCATTAATAAAAAAAAATTAGTTTGTTATTATTAGCTAGTCACGGTAGTCGTTACTTATTATGTTAAGCTATGATTGTTGTGTTATGCAAACTATTGGTGTAAACATCAGTGATGCATGAAAAGTTTGTACGCAACACATGAAAACCCAAAACAAATACATAAAAGAGTGTTTTAGGACAAGATTAGATAGGTCAGGTTAGTATCAAGTGTGAGGCTAAAAACTCCAATCTTCGTTTAAATAAGTAGAAATTTGTTTTTTAAATAAGATTTTGGCATCAACATTTGTTTCCTCAAGTATTTTAGATAATAAGTTTGAAAGACTTATCTAGCATATGTAATAGGAAAGAAAAACTTGTTTTAGATTGCTGATGTTAACTTTGTGTATGCATTTACATGCCTACATAAGTGTTTTTTTCTTATATTATTGTTAACTACAAGAGAGAGGAGATCATAAAAAAAACATTGTGTGAGGAGATGTTGTATTAAAATAAGAATCTAATAAAGATGTGTTATGGAGTTATTCAGGTTTTAATAAAGAAATAGAATTGTTATGGAGTTATTAAGATTTTAATAGAGACATAATAATTTTATTGTAGAGATTTTTCATGAAGATATAGAGAATCTGTAGATATTAAAATCTCTTTATGAAGATTTTCATGAAGAATTTAATGGAGATATGAAAATTTTATCATGAAAATTTTTATGAAAACACACTACTATTTTATTGAAAAATTTTTAAAAAATAAAGATGCAATTCTCAAAGATAATTCAAAAATTATCTCATCTCAATTAGCTTATCATAGATTGCACATATATGTTTTTCTTCTTGTTTTACTTATCTTTTTTTCTTAACAAACTATTTAAGGTATCATTTGACAATTTCCTTATCTATCACTTTTTTCTGAATATTATATTTATCATGCCACAATTGTTATAATTTCTTATATTTCAACCATTTTTCATAGAAGATAAGTATTGCAAGAAGTTTTTTTCTTTTAAATAATGATCAATATCTCATCATTTACAAGAATAAAAGATGTGGTAAGAGCTAAAGAATACCACATAATTGAAAAATTATTATTGATACTATTATTATTATTAAAAAAAAACATTTTTTCCAACGACCACCACCATTCTTGATCCCCCCTCCCCGTGGTTAGCATGAAGTTTTTTTCTCTCAATGCCGGTTAATATCTCATTATGCATGAGAATAAAAGGTGAGATCATAGCCGTGAGAATATCAGATGATTAAAAAATCATCATCATCATCATCATCATCTACTATTAAAAAATCACCATCATCATCATCATCTAAAAAAACGTTTGCACCGTCACCATTCTTGATTGAGAGCCGTCAGACTAGAGGAGCCATGGCCACTCATGGGCCAAAAACATTTAGATGAAGCTAATATATACACACAAATTGGAAAGGGCCATTTTCATGAAAAATTGGCCCACCAAAACAGATGGATGAATCCATAAGAGAAAAAAAAATGATGATTGTGGTGAAAGTGGTGCCTTGATAGGTTGCAGATCATTGAGTCACCTTGGCAGAGACTCTACTCCTCCTCCTCCTCCTCCTCCTCGTCCTCCATGACACCATGAAACCAAACCCCACAAAAAAAACCATCAAAACCCACTTCCAAAAACCACCACTAGCAGCAGAAAACCCATCAGATTATGCCTTCAAAATAACAGAAACAGCAATCTCACAAATCTGCCAGTCGGTAGGGTTTAAGTCCACACAACTCTCAGCTCTTGAAACCCTAACCCACGTAGCCACCCTTTGCCTCCAAACACTAGCCAAAACAGCTGTATTATATTCCAATGCGTCTAACCGTACTCAATCAAACATCTTTGACATCATCAACTCATTATATGACATGTCTTCTGTACGAGGTTTCACAGGGGGGTCCACACTGCATTGTAATGGTAGTGGCATGTCTTTTGAGGTCGAGTGCGTTAAAGAATATTAAATCTTTTGTTGAGTTCAGTGATGAAATCCCTTTCGCCAAGCCTATTCCAAGAGGGAAATCGATTTCTTTGAGGAGGAATTCAATTCCTTTGGAATTGAATGAATTGGGTTCCAGGGGTTTGCATATTCCTAGGTGGTTGCCTAGGTGTCCTGATGAGAGTTGTTATAACAAAATGTGGGGACAGGTGTGAAAAGAAGAGAGAAGGGGAGTTGGTCTTGTGGGAGAAGTCTGATTTGGTGGGTGGTGGAATTGGGAGCGGAGATGAATTCCAGGGGATTTCTTGGGAGAACGAGAGGACAAGCGGCGGCGGCGGCGATTTGGCAATGGAGAGAGGGAGGGTGAGGTTTAGGATTGGGGAAGTGGGAGGGGCACAAAAAGGAGGGGTTTGATTTCTCTTTTGCCATCTGTGGATGGCAGAATTTGAACCCTGTTCCTCTTGCAAAAGTGATGGGAAAAAAAATGAAGAACAGTTACTGCAACCAACAAACCTGCCAGGCATGTTTAGATAAAGCCATGTATTCTTCTTGATATATTACAGAGTTGCTGCCACTATTCTTCAATTCTAGACTCTCTGCTTGTGCTTGAATTTTGTTGTTTATGATTTTATAGTGGAAAAAAATCTGTTTTACAAGGTCTGATTGAATTCATTCCTCATCTCTCAGACAAAGAGGGGTGTTGTTGAGGTTTCAAGATTTCAAGCCACATCCGTAATTACGCAGCAAACATCATCTATCAAAATCTCGAAACATCCTAGATTAAGATTAAGATATTGAAGAATAAAATAAATAAAAACTTAACAAAGAAAAAAAATAAAATAAATAGTAATTAAAAAATAAAGATTAAATATAATATAAAATAAAATATTTAGGGATATAATTGAAAAATAATTCAATTAGAAAGAAAATCTAATTAAAAGATTAATTAAAAACAAAAAAAATTAATTTAAAAAATGAGCATTAAATTCGAAAGGTGAGAAAAAACAAAAAGGGATAAAATTTTTAAAAAATAATTTTATAAATTATTTAAAATAAAATCAATCACAATAAAAAAATGGAAAAAATATAAAAGAAAAACAAATCTAAGAATTGCTTTGAATATATACAAGAAAAACTCTAAAACTAAGAAGAAGAGTGGGGGGAGAATCACCCACATAAAACCTGATATATTTTTGCCACATATGCCACTTAAAAATGCAGGCAACATCTAAAGGATAAAAATGTCATTTGGAAAATGAAGTTTGGTAGTCTATTAACATTGTACGCACCCTTTGAATAACACGAGAGCATCAACACGTACCCGTATGATTTTTATATACAACCTACTTTTTATAATTAAATAATATTTTACATATACTAAATTATTAAATTACCTCTAATACAAAAGAAAAAAGTGAAAAGATTGAAAAAAAAAAAAAAACCCTTGACCCAAGATTACAATAATCTAAATTTATGATCATTGTAGTTATTTTATTGTTCCATCTATAAAGGAAAAGTAGAAAGCCCACTGCCCATATATGCATTATTTTCTGCCAAAAAAATTACACTAGTTATTTCACTGTCCAAGCAAATCTATTACATCCCTGCTGCCAGGACCGATTGTGTTTTATTGATAAGCAGAATAGTATTTAACTGTCTTAATCCACAGGACAATGGTCTATCAACAATAAATTTGATACAGTAAAAGTTCTACCCCTTCTAGTTTCTTTTAATTAATTTAATTACGGAATGGAAGAATTGGAACAAATGTAAAGGAAATTGTAATATGAACATAGATTATGCTCAGCTAACAAGTTTGTATGCAAGCAAATGAATATATTAGCCAGAAAGGGTGGCAACAAGAAAACCCATCATTTGGGACCCCGCTTGGAGGTAATCCAACTTTTTATCTATCACGAAAGGTTGAAATGATATGACAATAACATATAGGGTTTCATTCACATTCAAAAATAAGTTCTTGGACGATATATCAAAGAAATATCTAGTTGCTGCTACACACATGGTCATAACAATATATTCAGTATCTGCTTTTGCAACTCGCAAAAGTTCTAGAAACAGTATTATCAAGCCTTCAACGAATAGCCAGCTCTCATTTTCCACAATTAAAGCCTTTGCAAACAGAGAGGACTATGATGAGGATCAAAGCAATCAGTATTCCCAAAACAATCAGCTTAACCTTCATGTTCTGCAGCCACATTTTTCTCCGGATTTGTGTCCCTTGACTGCGAAAATCTTGTGCCTATAATTAACAATTTCCACATGCAATAAAAGGGAAATTAGTATCTTTATGACAATGAAGATTAGGAAAGCATCTAAATCATTTGTCAAAAAGCATGTTAAGATGATGTTGCTATAATATCATGTGATTGTCATGAAACAGGTAGAACTATCAATGACCCAAAATTTTCATTTAAATAATTATAGAATCTCCTTCAAGCAAACCCTAGATCCTTCCAAAACATTAAGCATAGGAGTATCAAAACTTTCTTAAACAGCCTACTGTTCCTTACAAATGCCATAAATGAGAGAGAAAATCACTTACCTGTGAATGAAGGTTCTCGGTCTTGTCCACAAGAAGTTCTATTTTCTCTCCCCTGTCCAGAACCTACATGAATACAGAAAACAGATCTCTTTTGTTCAAACCTTGAAAACATGTCTTACAGGAACCAAGTGCACCTCAATCAGTAAATGAAGGAATGCCATCCTGCTTAAACATAAACCTCTATGCATTAATGCTCCTTAATGCACGTCCACATGTTCAAAAGGCACATGAACAAATCTACACATGTGGCATATATAGTATCTTATGAACATTTTGGTAAAACCAAATGATTCAACGGTATTATTCATTCCTGCTACAGACCAAAGTATTACAAGAAAAATAATTTGAAAATAATAAACTTGTCATAAACATGAACTACACTTACATTCAATGATGGAACACGCACCCACAGGTTCACCCATAAACAAGTAAACTTGCACAGATGCACTCATGAACTATTAAACATTTTAACATTCTAGCCTTCTGATTCAACAGGAAAACTTATGTCTGCTTTCAGTCAAGTATTACAAGAAAAAATAACTTGAAAAATGCAAATTAGGATCCAGGCAGGCATAAGGTCACTTACCTTCTCAATGTTCTCCATCATGACACCTTTAACTTCTGAAACCTGGGCTTTCACTTTCGCAAGCTTGCTTATCTCTTCAGGATGATCAGCACAATACTTCATATGTTCCTTCAATTTTGGCCTGCAACAAGTTAACAGTTCACATCAATTATCAACTACATTAAAAAAACAAATTTCCATGCTCGTCTCTCAACGGTCTTAACCCATCCATAATACCCACCCAAATTCCTTGTTAAGACCATTGGCCTGGGCTGTGGCAGCCTTTCCACCGCCCTACTTTGACACGAAATCATCCCTGACACGCTCCAAAAAAGCCATAGGCACTTGTCTTCCAGCCGATTCATCCGCAACAACACAATATGCTGCAACATCAAAAACACTCAAGTCAATATTCAACATCAAAGCATCCAGCACTAAACCGCAAACACAAAAACATCAATATAACAGAAACCCAGTTAAGCAATGCACCTCACTTGAAAGTCAAAGTCACTCAGGATCCTTAAACTGCTTTCATAGGTTATTTAACATTACAATTCTTAGGTTTTCCATTAACGTAACAGTTTTTGAAACCCGAACAAACAAACTCTCTCAGGCAGTCCAAAAACAATTTCAACAGAATTAAACAGATCCAATTCATGTCTCATCGACAACACCTCCCTTGCCAAAATCTACAGAAAACTAAACAAATCCATTTGCTAACTCTTTCTTAGCAAAAAACAACGATAGCCCAGTTAACAAAACAGAAAACCCACAGCACAGAATTCATTAGAAAACCAAAAAAACTATGCAAAAGCAAGAAGCCAAAAACACTTACTAAACCCATTGTCGACGAGGTAATTGAAAGTATGACCATCGCAGTTGTAAGTAAACTTGTTGTTAGTAGCAGGAAGTTTCTGGAGACATTGAAACGCTATGGAATTGAAATTCCCACTGAATTCAGTGTACTCAGCAAGAATCACAGTTCCTCGTGAAGCAAACGCGTAGATCAGTGATTTCTGGGTCATTTTTAAAAATTCAAAATCTAGGGTTTTCCGAAAAAAGAGATCTGAGAGAGATTTTCGGTATCTCTCTCCTTGTTCTAGTTTGTTTCCTTGTTGGTTTAAGGGGGGAGGGAGAGTAGAGGAGAGAAGGAAGAGGGTTTAATGAGATGTGTTTTGGGAAGGGGAAAGGGCTAGGGGAGAGAGGGAAGAGTAAAGAAAGGGAAAAGTATGGTTCAATTTAATGATGGGTTTTTGTGTGATAAAATTAAGTAATTGATTTGAATTTGAAGGGAAAGTAAGAGAAATTATTGTAAGAGATTGTTCTCATTTTTCACTTACATGAGACCACTTCTGTCTAATTATAGTTTCTCCATAAACCATGTAATTGAATCTCATGGGATTGCTCTAATTAGGGATGCCAATTGATGCTTAAATTTGATGGGTATTTTTTATATTTAATTTGAATGGATAAATGTTATTTTTAAAATAGTTTTATTTAGAGATTTGAATCAAATCCTAGGAAAAACATTGTAGAAAATCCCGTTCTACAAAAAATATCTCTACAAAAAAAAATCAATAAAATAAATTTCATATTAAAAAATAATAATTATTAGGTATACCCAATTATATAATTTAAGTTTTGATCTAGTGTTTAAAATGTATAACTCTTATGATCCTCCAGACTTAATAGAAATAATCCACTCAATGGAAATAATATATGCTTTATTTAGTGTTTGATATTATAATATTAGTTGTTTTTTAAAGTATTTTTTATTTAAAAATATATTAGATATTATTTTTTAATTTTTTAAAATTTATTTTTTATATTAGCACATTAAAATAATTTAAAAATAATAAAAAATTATAATTTTAGCAAATATGCGGCAAGTCATGTTCCAAATGCTACCTAATCAATAATTTTAGCAAATATACGCCAAGTCATGTTCCAAATGCTACCTAATCAAGTGGTAAAAATAAACTTAATTTTAACATAAGAAAATGTATGAAAAATATATGACAACGTGTTTGGAAAGCTTTTTTAAAAAAATTTAAATTTTTTTGTTTTAAATTAATATATTTTTAATATTTTTAAATTATTTTAATATACTCGCCTTGTCTTAGTGTTATTAACTTTAATGCAACTATAAACACCAAATGAATGTGCAAACACTTCTACAGAACTCATGCAGTCAATATGTGGTGGTCAAGTGGTAAGAATTTAAGATTAAAGGGTTTACTTCTTTTGTGGTCTCAGGTTCGAGTCCTTGGTTGCTCATATGATGGC